AGGACAGCGGGTGTTTGTCTGGAGGCGGATCGCCAGGACCACCGCCCGATCCGAGAGCCTGGGGGTGCGCCGCGACGCCTGGACCGGGCCAGGCATCGTCGTGCTCCAGCAAGGGGGAACGGTGTGGGCTGCGAGGAGGGCCCGCTTGTGGAAATGCTCCATGGGCCAGGTCAGACCCGCCAGTCCGGAGGAAGAATACGGACTGCAACTGGCTCAGGACCCGCAGTGGAGCGAGCTGCTGGAACAGGCGCGACACGGTCGCGTGACAGCGGTGGACGTCCAGCGAGAGGGGATGCCTCCCGAAGAATCCTGGGATCGGCCGCTGGCGGCCGAGGGGGATCCGGCTCCCAGGGTGCCCGGGACCCCGGTCGAGCCTCCTGTAGGGGCTCCCAGCGGACTTGTCCCGGGACCAGGCCAGCCGTCCGGATCTGTCGGCCCAAGTCTTCGCAGGAGGAGCCGCGACCGGCGGCGGGAGAGACCCAGGGACGCGGCCCGATGGAGGGCGACTCCAAGCCACTGCTGGACGAAGCTCGAGAAGCCGAAGAGTCGCCACCGCTGGACGAGGCTCGAGTGGAGCAGCAGGACTCCAAGGGTACTCCACTTCCCCCGACACCTCGAGCCGAGCTCGAGCAGCCCTCGGACGTCCCCGCCTGTATCCTCCGGAGGGGAACATCCAGGAGCGCGGCCGAGAGCCGCGAGGCCAGTCGCAACTCTGGGACATCAGAGCCCAAGGAGCCCAGGGCCGATCCCCCTCCCGGTCTTCCGGAGCCTGGCTCCAGGACGGAGCTGCTGCCGCTCTCTGTCTCCCCTGTTCCACCTGACCCAGGCGCTTCTTCCTCCCTGTCTCTAGGCCCCCCCTGGTACGACGCCGTCGCCGGACCTCGGCATGGAGCCGATGACTGGAGGACCCAGGAGCGTTCCAGAGCGGGTTCGGGACATCGAGGATCAGATAGCAGCCAGGGCCGAACGAGAGAGATCCCCCCGACGTGACAATGGTGCTGGTAGCTCAAGGCATTACAGAGAAAGTGGGGGGGCCTGATCATTCCTAGGGTGCGCCGAACCGTCCGGGGGGTTGCGAGTCGAGTTGTACCAGGAAGACCCCTCCCCCTCTACCTCTTGGGATGAAGCCTGGCACATTACTGGAGAGTTTCCTGGCTCCCAGCGTAAGACAAAGGTCTTCGCCGCCAGCCGAGGGGGGGAAATTGTCTGGTCCAAGCTCACTCCGGCCGAGAGGGCCAAGTTTGAGATTTCCGACGGGGCCGAGTGGAAAAACATGGAGAACTCCGGGGCCGTGCGCATCATTCCTCCGAAGAAAGCGAAGATAATCCGCGAGATGCAGCCCGAGAGGATAATCTCGTCTCGCATGGTGCGCCGGTGGAAGCCCCAGGAGGGGACGTTTGCAGAGCCGACAGCAAAGTCTAGGTGGTGTGTCCATGGCACCCAGGACCCTGCCACAGGCACCCTCGCAGTCTTTGCGCCGACCCCTCAGTCCGCTTCCCTGATCATGTTCATGCAGGTTCTGATGAATCACGGCAGGTAGGGAGACATAGCCGAATCCAATGAAGCGTGAAGGTGGACCAATATGCGTCGAGCCCTGCCACGGAGTTCGAGTCGAGGAGGGAGCTCTCATCGAGCTCAGTGTAAATATATACGGCCTGGACGATGCTCCTGTTGCGTGGCGGAAGACCGTGATTCAGTTCCTGTCCGATCATGGGTATGTGAGGACCCTGTTAGAGCCCTGCTGGTGGTTGAAGCATACGAAAGGGAACGGCCTCGAGAGCATGATACTGCTCGAAGTCGACGATTTCTTCATAGCGTCGTCCACTCCCGAGGTCAGGCAGCAGGTGCGAGTGATGTTAAAAACTAGGTTCCGTTTTGGGAAGTACCGCGACCTGCACGTGTCGCCGGTAAACTACGCCAGTCGTAGGATAACGTGGACTCCCCAGCGCATCACAGTTGACCAGGAGAAATACATCCTGGAGGAACTCTGGCCCCTCAGCATGGCTCCTGGCAAGCTCAGTAAAAAGGACACCCAGTTGGACCCGACAGAGTTCAAGGCCCTGAGGTCTCTCGTATACAAGCTGAACTTGGTAGGTCGAGAGACGCGACCAGAAGCGTCAGGAGGAGCGAGTCATCTGGCATCAAGGCTGAAACAAGCGACTTCTTGGGACGTTTCGTGTGCCAACAAGCTGGTGCGTCATTTGAGGAGCACGGCCTCCAGAGGCCTGTCAGTGTGGCGTCTCGATCCCAGCAAAATGTCCTTCATCACCTTCTCTGACGCCGGAGGGGTGGGAGCCAGCGCCAGCGGGGTCGACTCCAAGGGGCTTCCAGAGGATCCGACCCAGGGGGCGTGGATGGTGCTGGCCACCGATCAGAGTGTGTTGCAGAATCTTTCAGTGAGGGCGTCGATTCTCGGGTGGAGGTCGTCCAAGCTCAGAAGAAAGATTCCATCCACCCTCGCAGGCGAGACGCTGGCCCTCGCATCAGCAGTATCAGAAGTCGAGTACCTGCAAGTGCTGCATAGAGATGCAGTTTCCAGGATGTAAATATTCCAGAGTGTTCGAGAGCTGCAGGACCGTTTACCAGTGTCCTCCGACAGGACTGCAGACTCGGACATCGAGAGCGACATATTCATGAAGTGGACGCAAAAAGTATATATGATACGATGGCGAAGAATGGAACAGCGAGAGCGAAGGATAGAAGGACGGCTCTGGATCTAGCGATCACCTGTGAGTCGCTCGAGCAATCGAGAGTTGTCGTGAAGTGGGTGCCACATTCTAGGATGCCGGTGGATCCCCTCACGGAAGGATGATGGTACCAAAGTGAACGCCGCCCTGTTTGACCTGATGGCGTCAGGCCGTTTACTGCTGGTGGATGAGGACCGAGAGCTGGTCGGCAGGCGGGAGGACCCTTCCCAGAAGGCGAGGTCGCAAGCTGCCTCCCTCAGGACATTCGCCAAGGATCGGGCGTCCGTCAGTTGGACGTCATTCGTGTCCGAGTCCCGTGCCGAGTCCGACGGTTCCGGCCAGTTCCAGTGATCTCTTCTCCCTTCCTCTGTCCTCCTAAGACATGTGCGTGCGCTGGCGTGCAGCGTGGGTACACAGGGGCAGGTGACAATCACCAAGCCCGTGTACTGAGGCGTGATTCACACGCTCGGGTCAGCTAAACCTACTGGAAAGGTTGACCAGTGTGAATATCTGGCACACTTGTGTGTTTAGGTTTAGCTTTTAGTTTCCTTGACCCAGGCCCAGGGGATTGGGCCCTCTCTGGTACATGTACGCCTTACTGGCTCAAGTCCAAAACCATTTGCTGCTGCTCCTGCTGCCACAAGCCCCCCCACCCCCCTAGGGCACCCACTGTGCTGCCAACCCAGCCGCCTTCGAAAGTGGCGACAGTTTCGCAGATCGCAGCTCCCAAGGCGTGCCAGCTTCACACTTCGCAGGCCCCACAGGCAAGCCACCAGGCGCACAGGAGAGGAGATGAGAAAAGACGCGGGGAGGAGGACGAAGAAGAAGGACGGAGACCACAGTGCCATATTCAACACGAGAACCCAACGCAGAAAGGTTGGGGAAAAATCAGCACTAATGAATCTATATTTTTCCTTGTAAAGGCATCCTCCTCCTCCTCCTCCTGCTCCTCCTCTTCCTCCTCCTGCTCCTCCTCTTCCTCCTCCTCCTCGTCCTCATCCTCCTCCTCGTCCTCCTCATCCTTCTCGTCGTCGCCGTCGTCGTTCAGCGTCTTTGCCGTCGTCATCGGCCGACGTCCACGTCGAGGTTTCCTCCTCCCCCTCCTCCTCCTCCTCCGCTTCCTCCTCCTCCTCCTCCTCCTCCTCCTCCTCCTCCTCCTCTTGTTCTTTTTCTTCCTCCTCCTCCGCCTCCTCCTCCTCCAATTCCTCCTCCTCCTCCTCCTTCTCCTCCTCCTCCTCGTCATCATCCTCCTCTTTCCTCCTCCTCCTCCTGCCCCTCCTGTTCCTGCTGCTCATCCTCCTCCTCCTCCTCATCATCCTCGTCCTCCTCTTCCTTCTCATCGTCCTTTTCGTCCTCCTCATCCTCCTTGTCATCCTCATCCTTCTCGTCGTCGCCGTCGTCGTTCAACGTCTTTGCCGTCATCATCGGCCGTAGTCCTCGTCGACGTTTCCTCCTCTTCCTCCTCCTCCTCCAATTCCTCCTCCTCCTCCTCCTCTATTATTCCTCCTCCTCCTCCTCCTCCTCCTTCTCCTCCTCCTCCTCCCTCCTCCCTCCTCCTTCCCCCTTTCGCCTCCTCCTCCTCCTCCTCCTCCCTCCTCCTCCTCCTCCCTCCTCCCCTCTTTCCCTCCTCCTCCTCCTGCTCCTCCGCCTCCTCCGCCTCCTCCTCCTCCTCCTCCTCCTCCTCCTCCTCCTCCTCCTCCTCCATCCTCCTCCTCCTAGCTCCTCCTCCTCCTCCTCCTCCCTCCTCCAGCTCCTCCTCTTCTCCTCCTCCTGCTCGTTTTCCTCCTCCTCCTCCTCCTCCTCTTCCTCCTCCTCCTCCTCCTCCTCCTGCTCCTCCTCCTCCGCCTCATCTTCCTCCTCCTGCTGTCCTCCTCCGTCCGTGTCTCCTCTTCCTCCTTCAACTTCCTCCTCCTCCTCCTCCTCCACAGCCTTTTCTTTGTCGTCGTCGTCGTCGTGGCACAACGTCCTTGTCGCCATCATCGTCCGACGTCCTCGTCTTCTTTGCCTCTCGTCGTTGCGGTCATCTTTGCCCATCTGCACGCCAGCACGCCCAACCTCGTCGCCGCCCGCACGCACACGTCGTCGTTGTCGCCCATCTTCGTCGTCGTCGAATGGTGTCGTCCTTACCCGTTGCCCATCGTCCTCGTTGCCCGACGTCGTCGCGGCCCGATTCCGTCGACGCTTGACGTCGTCGCCGCCCGACGTCGTCGCCGCCCGTCATCGTCGTCGCCTGCCGCCGCCCAACGTCGTCACCGCCCGATGGTGTCGCCACCCGACGCCGTCGCCGCCCGACTTCGTCGCCCCCCGACGTGCCTTGCCGCCGAAGAGGTCGGGCATCAGCGCCGCGTAGCCCTTGCCGGCGAGGCGGTCCACGGCGCGCCTTGGCAGGGGACGCGCCGCGGGGCGCGCCACGGCAGACAAGCGTGGTCGTCGTGATGGTCGTCGTGGTAGTGGTGGTGGTGTTGCTGGTGGTGGTCGTCCTCGTCGTTGCCGTGGTCGTCGTCGTCGTCGCCGCCGTCGTCGACGTCGTCGTCGCTGCCGCCGCCGCCGCCATCGCCGCAGCTGCCGCCGCCGCCGTCGTCCTGACCTCTGCTCGGCAACCGCGTGCCCAGCATCGCGGCAAAATCGGAAAGCCAGGGCGCCCAGTGCGCGCGCCCACGGGAGCAAGTACGGGCTGAGGAGGCGGCCTCGACGGGGCACCCCCCAGACACTGACCCCACCGCCCGCGGCCCCGAAACAACCCCAAGACGACTTCAAATAAATTACCCCAGGGGCACCCAAATGGCCAGACATTGCTCGAAATGGCCCCAAGATGGCCCCAAAGGCCCCAAGATGCCCCCGAGAGAAACCACGATGGCCCCAAAGCTGCTTCAAAACGGCGGCGACATGTTGAGCAGGGACCGACTGTCCCGGCATTCCTATAGGCCTACCACGACATGTTCTTAGACTTCCGAAGAACAAAAACAATGTTCTTCTAACATACACCCGATGTACTACAACAACTCAGTCTCAGCCAGAAACGTTCGAAGAACATTTCGTAGAACGCACACACAAGGTTCTTTGAACATTATTTGATGGGCCTCTAGGCGAGCCAAGACGCTTCGCCACTGCTTGAACATGGATCAACCGGGGGGGCCGGCGGAACAAGCCGCAGCCGTGGAGGTCTGGCCGTTCCCGCACGTGACGCAGGGCGTGCGAAGCCCCGTTGTCCGCACGCGCGTCCAGCACCGACCCCTTCTTACAGTCATCGGCCACACCGAAGGAACGAAAAATAAGAACGAAACTCCGTTGTTGTCCTAGCGGGTCTACGACGTCCGAAGGAACGGCCGAGCCCCTTGCAAGCAGAATTCCATCACGATTTGCGTTTGCGATTCGACCCCCGCCCGTGTTGCCAAACTACCAAGGAAACGCCAGGTGGCTCGCCGCCAGAAAGGTAGCGGAACGCATGCAAACCCAAGGAACGACCGAGCCCTTTTTGAAAAGTAAGTTTCCTTACTCAAGCCGCTCACTGTATTTGCGTGTCCCTTCCCCCTCCCCCATCCCACCTCCTCCCTTCCCCCCCCGCCCATCCATCCTGATCCAATGCACACAGCTCCTCTGTTTTTGGATGGCGCATGACACGAGGGTGTCCTGTTGGAGATCCCGAGTCAAAATGACACCAGTGGATCGAGACAAATCAACTCAATGGGAATGGATGGGCGAGCGAGCGAGCAACCTCGGCAGCAGTTCGGCGACTGCGCATGGAGCACAAGCCCATGAACGTCGGCGCTCGCTGCTGGCACTGCTCAAGGCGAGGCGGTGGGGCGGCTGAAGGAGCCCACCGGGGCCTATACAGCCTCGGGCCCCTCGTCGGCCTTAGGCCGTCTCGAACCTCAGAATTGACATAAAACGAGGCGGCGAAACGTCTGGCCCGAACCTCCCAACCTGCAAGCACGTCGGATCGCATGCGTGTTGTGGGCGGTGGGGCACGGCTTGCGTTCGCTCATGTACCATGCACTTCCCGCTCACAATGCAACACTGTATATATATATATGTGTATATATATACACGTATACATGTGTACATATCTATATATATAGATATATATATATATATGTACATGGGAGGCATGCATGCCCGATACGATTGCAAGACGGCATGCCGCAATGCAGCGCGCAAAGCAGCCCCGCTCACAAACGCTCGAGCGAGGGGGGAAATCCCCGGCGCCGGTGTCGAGGAGAGCCGAGGTTGACTCCGGCCAACTCGCCGAAAGAGTTCAACTGGACGGATGCCCACTTCAAATCCTGCAAAGAAGCTCGCGACAAAAGGCTATCCCTGGTGGCGCGCAAGACCGAGGGATTTCACCGGCGACGCTGCACGCGGCGGCGAGGCGCCAGCTAGCGCGCGAGTCTCGGCCGCGGCAGGAGCTCGAAGCCCGGGGCCCAGCGGGGCAGCGGTCACGAGCGAAGCTGCTGCGTAGCAGTCTGGTTGGGATTGCGCATCTGTAGTCTAACCCATTCAGTCTGCGGCAAGAGAAAAGAAGCAGACGTGGGCCATCTTGATCAGCGCCGCGCGGCGCCAAGTCAACCCTGCACAGGAAATATGAAGAGCGCGGCGCGGGACCGGCTGCGCGAACCACCATGCGAATACTCGCGTTATGCCAGCACCGTTATGGCCAACATATCGCAAGCTCTCGCGCTGCCCTTCTCGGACTGTCCACGAAATCCGTCAGCCTTCACTGCTGAAGATCTCGCCGCCGGGCCCATCCGGCGCCGACGACGGCGCTGATCTCTACATCGGTTTCGCTTCCTGATAAGCAACCGCCCGGCGAAACTGCCGGATTGCGATCGGCGGCGGCTAGATCGGCGCCAGTCGTCCCCCCTGGCACTGCCTCATGCCAGATGTCAATCCCCCGTCCGTGAATGGGCTGACTGCTAAAGCGTTCGCCATGCATGACCCGCGGAGGGCACTTCCTTGGCCGGCAGCGCTCGAAGCGAGCTACTTCGGCGCGGAGATAGGGGATCGCGCCCCTGACGCGCAGGCGCGACATGCCTTTCACCGATGCTTCGCAGGCGGTGAAAGTCTCCCCCAAAGGGCTCGGGAAATCCGATGGGGCCAGGCCCTTTCCAAAATGCGTGCACCCGGGCTGCCCAAGTCCTGCCCCCCCGCGTTGACCACCTCCGCGCAGGCCGCCCGCGCGTCGACCCCCTGGCCCGCTGCTGCGCGGCTCTGGGATCAGGTAGAAGTCCCAGACCGACCCTGGCAAGTGACGAGCCACATGCGCGTTGTTGAGCGTCGCCCGCCCCGGCGTCGCCATCTCACCATCGTCGGCTGGCCGCGCGCGCCCAGAACGCGCGAGGCGCGGCTGGGCCCCAACTGCTCCTGCTCCATGGCGCGCCCCGCCGGCGGCGACGAGCGTTTCTGGTCTCGGGCCGACCCCCGACGCTGTCGGCATCCATCGCGATGGGTTCGTCTTCGCTCTCTGGGCCTGGCGCGCGCCCTTGCACGCGCCGCGCGCGAGTGCGAATGCCACGGTGCGCGATGCCGCACAGCCCGCGCCCGCCATATCAGGCTCGGGCTGAAGATCGAAAGACGGGCCTGACTGGGCACTTTCCCGGCGCCACTGCCGCCGCCGCCCACGCGCGTCTCCGACGCGAGGCCCCGCTAGCGAACAGCGCCCGCCACCGTGGACATGCGCGCGCACGAGTCTCGATCGAGCGTCACTTTCGAAGCCGATGAGCGAAGGCGACGCGAGCGCCCAGGGCCTTCAAGGTGGGGATGGTCGCCGCGCTTGCCGTGCCATCGCGCATCTCGTGCATGCACCAGAACACCCCCATCGCACTCCACTCCCTCGTCGCGCGCGACGCGCCTCCTTGCTCCTCGTTCGTCGCCGCGCAAGCGCTCGAGCCATGGCCGCGGGATGGGCGTGCCGATCTTCGACATGTTAAAGACTTCTGCTGATACTGCGCGATCTTGGTATAGATCCATGATGCGTTGTGCGTCGCGCCGGCCGAACATGCAATCTATGCTCCGTCGCATGCCTTCGACCTGGAATCCAGCGTCGCAATGCCGCTCGCTCGACTTCGCGATCGCGTCGAGATCAGCCAGCCACCAGCTTGCCCGCGGAAAGGCTGCGCTAAACTCCCATGAGGGCGCGTTCGCGATTCGCTGGGTCCCTGGCGACGGCCAGGACCCATCTGGCTCGCTGCAGCTGGAAAATCCTGCAAGATCCTGCACCCAAACCCGGGTCAATGCGAAGGATCCTGCAAGATCCTTGCACCCAAACCTGGGTCAATGCGACCCTGGCCCTGGAGGATCCTGCAGGATCGGGCGCTCTGGCTGACCCCCGTTTGCATTGACCCCCGTGTCAAGGCTCCCGAAGCATGGAGCCCTGATCTGGTCCGGGACCGTCAACCAAAAATATTACCCTGGCGACGTACTCAACCACTGCGCAAACGCGGGGCGCAAATAGTTTAGGACACTTTATAAGGGGGGCGATGACGGAGCGAGGGTTACATATGTCTGCAGACGGAATTCGGGAGACTCGCAGGACACTGGCTACAGGACAAGGACTAGATCAAGCTGATTAGTTACAATCCCTGAGCAACCCTAGCCACTTCGAAAGCGGGGATCTCAGATCGCAGCCCCCCAGGGATGGCGAGGTCTAATTTGGGTCCGCGCGTGGCGTCACTGTGCTGGGCCCCCCAGCAGGCCTCAAAAGTGGCGACAGTTTCACAGATCGAATCCCCCCAGGGATGGCGAGGTCTAATTTAGGTCCGCGCGTGGCGTCACTGTGCTGGGCCCCCCAGCAGGCCTCGAAAGTGGCGACAGTTTCACAGGTCGCAGCCCCCCAGGGATGGCGAGGTCTAATTTCAATCCGCCCGTGGCGCCACTGTGCTGGGCCTCCCAGCAGGCCTCGAAAGTGGCGACAGTTTCACAGATCGCAGCCCCCCAGGGATGGCGAGGTCTAATTTGGGTCCGCGCGTGGCGCCACTGTGCTGGGCCCCCCAGCAGGCCTCGAAAGTGGCGACAGTTTCACAGATCGCAGCCCCCCAGGGATGGCGAGGTCTAATTTGGGTCCGCGCGTGGCGTCACTGTGCTGGGCCCCCCAGCAGGCCTCGAAAGTGGCGACAGTTTCACAGATCGCAGCCCCCCAGGGATGGCGAGGTCTACCACTGTGCTGGGCCCCCCAGCAGGCCTCGAAAGTGGCGACAGTTTCACAGATCGCAGCCCCCCAGGGATGGCGAGGTCTAATTTGTCCGCGGTGGCACTGTGCTGGGCCCCCCAGCAGGCCTCGAAAGTGGCGACAGTTTCACAGATCGCAGCCCCCCAGGGATGGCGAGGTCTAATTTGGGTCCGCCCGTGGCGTCACTGTGCTGGGCCCCCCAGCAGGCCTCGAAAGTGGCGACAGTTTCACAGATCGCAGCCCCCCAGGGATGGCGAGGTCTAATTTGGGTCCGCCCGTGGCGTCACTGTGCTGGGCCCCCCAGCAGGCCTCGAAAGTGGCGACAGTTTCACAGATCGCAGCCCCCCAGGGATGGCGAGGTCTAATTTGAATCCGCCCGTGGCGTCACTGTGCTGGGCCCCCCAGCAGGCCTCGAAAGTGGCGACAGTTTCACAGATCGCAGCCCCCCAGGGATGGCGAGGTCTAATTTGAATCCGCCGTGGCGTCACTGTGCTGGGCCCCCCAGCAGGCCTCGAAAGTGGCGACAGTTTCACAGATCGCAGCCCCCCAGGGATGGCGAGGTCTAACTTGAATCCGCCCGTGGCGTCACTGTGCTGGGCCCCCCAGCAGGCCTCGAAAGTGGCGACAGTTTCACAGATCGCAGCCCCCCAGGGATGGCGAGGTCTAATTTGAATCCGCCCGTGGCGTCACTGTGCTGGGCCCCCCAGCAGGCCTCGAAAGTGGCGACAGTTTCACAGATCGCAGCCCCCCAGGGATGGCGAGGTCTAATTTGAATCCGCCGTGGCGTCACTGTGCTGGGCCCCCCAGCAGGCCTCGAAAGTGGCGACAGTTTCACAGATCGCAGCCCCCCAGGGATGGCGAGGTCTAATTTGAATCCGCCCGTGGCGTCACTGTGCTGGGCCCCCCAGCAGGCCTCGAAAGTGGCGACAGTTTCACAGATCGCAGCCCCCCAGGGATGGCGAGGTCTAATTTGGGTCCGCGCGTGGCGTCACTGTGCTGGGCCCCCCAGCAGGCCTCGAAAGTGGCGACAGGTTCCCAGTGATGGCGAGGTCTAATTTGAATCCGCCCGTGGCGCCACTGTGCTGGGCCCCCCAGCAGGCCTCGAAAGTGGCGACAGTTTCACAGATCGCAGCCCCCAGGGATGGCGAGGTCTAATTTGAATCCGCACGTGGCGTGGGCACCCCAGCAGGCCTCGAAAGTGGCGACAGTTTCACAGATCGCAGCACCCCATGGATGGCGAGGCCTAATTTGAATCCGCCTGTGGCGTCACTGTGCTGGGCCCCCCAGCAGGCCTCGAAAGTGGCGACAGTTTCACAGATCGAAGCCCCCCAGGGATGGCGAGGTCTAATTTGAATCCGCCCGTGGCGTCACTGTGCTGGGCCCCCCAGCAGGCCTCGAAAGTGGCGACAGTTTCACAGATCGCAGCCCCCCAGGGATGGCGAGGTCTAATTTGAATCCGCCCGTGGCGTCACTGTGCTGGGCCCCCCAGCAGGCCTCGAAAGTGGCGACAGTTTCACAGATCGCAGCCCCCCGCAGGCAAGACAGGAGGAGGCAAGAGGGAGGCGGGACGGGAGGCAGGAGGAAAGGAGGAAGTGGAGACCACACTGCTCTATTCTAAACGAATACCCAACCAAGGAGGGTTGGGAATAACCTAGGGCGCCAGCTGGTCCCAGGGATGGGGTCGACGATTCGAGGGTCCGCGCCGTGACATCGCGGACAACGGGAGAACGGGAAAAGCAGCGGGACGGGGGGCAGGAACCTCCGCGGACAAAGCCACAAGACCACCGCCAAACCACGAAAAACGAAGAAGCGATGCTCCCTCAAACTCGTCCTCATCCCGCTCCCGTTCAAGCTCCTCCCCAGGCGACGGCGGCGACGACCACGACGCCGACGACGCCGACGACAGCGGCGGCCGAAAAAAAAACGACAACGGGGACGCCGTCCAGGACGACAACGAAGATGATGACGACGGCAGGGAGACGACGACGATCACAAGGACAGAACGACGACCAGAAAACGACGACGGGGGAAAGTGAACGACGAGGACGACGGTGGCTACGAAAACGACGAAGAAGACGGCAACGACGATAACGACGAACACGACGACGACGACGACGACCAAAACGACGAGGACGAGGACGAGGACGAGGATGAGGACGAAAACGAAAACGACAGCGGCGGCGGCGGCGAGGACGGCAAGATGACGCCGTCAGCCCGTCGCCGCCTGCAGCCTGGCGAGAGGAAGCCGAATACATCGTGAACCTTGAGGGGGAAAGGACGCAAGGGAGGAAGGCGGAGAGAGAGAGAGAGAGAGAGAGAGAAAGCAGGGAGGGAGGGCTGCGGGAGGAGCGCGGGAGGGGGAGGGGCGATGGCGGGGAGGGAGGGAGAGAGAGGGAGAAGAGGGGCGTGGCGGACAGGAGGGGCAGGAAAGAGCAAGCGGGACGGTCTACTCACACACGCTGGCGCTTGAGATGTTGCATGTTGGCCAATATTAGTTGTGACGCCCACGGATGTATGTATATATAGTGTGTTGTAAACACACACTATATATACATATATATATATATATATATATACACTGTGTGTTTACAACAACAACAAAGTGTTCTTTGATGCGCACGTACACTCACAATGGTTTCGCGGAATCGCACTTCGAATCTGCAAACATCAAACGTGCGAGTGCTTCATGGACTCGCGCGCTGAACCTGTGAACCTGGACGCAAAACTGGGGCACGCTGTTGTTTGCCGGCGGCGGCGCCCCTGTTGCGTTAGCTTCGCTCAGATGCTTCGGATTTTACAAGGGCACCGAATGTGTAGATTTCGACATAAGTTCCCGCATCTTCTTGTTCAACGGTCGGTTGGCCCGTTTGAGCGCGAGCTGGTCCTGAGCGTTTGACCTGCGCTGAAGAATTCGCGCGCTCACAAGCGCGACGTCTGCGTGGCAGCGCGAGACTGCAACTTCCATTCCAGGCCCGGCACGTCCTTGATGAAGTAGTCTGGGCGCAGCGCCCTGAGCACGAGACCGATCTCGAACACCCGCGAAAACTTGACGGCGCCAACCTTCCAGCGGACCATGTCCTGCAAGACGCCGGAATGTTCGCGCCTGTTCGGGCTGAACTGCCCCCCCAAGATGGCATGTGAATGCGGCTTCCTCTTCAAATCTGAAAGATGCAAATCGCACGCCCCATTTCACGACGCAGCGCCGGGGGGGCATTGAGCCCGCCTTTGCGCGGGCGCGAGCGCGAAGAGTCTGAGATGATCCTGAGAGGCTCCGGAGAAGCTCCCAAGGGGCTCCTCCGATGCTTCTGAGAGGCTGCTGAGGACGGCGCTGATCGCACCTCATGTAGCCGAATCCCACCTCCGAAACTTGCCTGCGGCGGCCGCGCTCCTGCTCCGAATCTTGCCCATCGACGTCCCGAATGGGGCTCCGAATCGCGCCGCGTAAGGGCTCCGAATCTTTCCCGTCGACGCCTCGGATGGTGCTCCGCACTGTTAAAAACAAGACCGAAGATAATTCACCCAACTTTCGCTAATGATTCGACCGATGTGAAACTGCCATCTTTCGGGGCAGCTTTCGGCGGCCTCGCCCGGTGGCATCTCGGGGGGCAAGCCCAGCGCGCGCGGGTGGCCCGTGCACTTGGGGCCCCGCGGACCCCGCGTCCAGAGCCCTCGACTCAAGGGCGCAGATCTCCTTTGATTCTAGGGCCAGGGCCCGCGGACTCCGCGGCGGGGCCCAGGCGAGTCGGGGCCCGACCATGCGCTGCGGCATCGCGAAGAGCGCCCAGCAACGCCAAAGAAACCGCGCGCAAGAACGACATCGAGCAAACAAATAAGCAACCCGGAACACAGCAAAATTCACAGACGTTTCGCTTGGGGCCCTGTTCAGCCCGACGCCTGTCTGAGCTGACCTCGAAGGTCGCGCCTGCGAAGGCATTTGCATGCGACATGGAGCTGGTCGTCGTCGGAATTGTCGATGTCAATCTCGAACACCTTCACAAGGCCTGTCGCGCCGGCACCCCCCAGCTGGGGCCTCGTCACGGCGCCGCGCCAACCAACGGGAGACGTCGGCGCAGACGTCGGCGCGCAGACGGGCGGATCCAGCCGGGCGAAACTCCTCGCCACGACTGCCCCCCCGTCTTGAAGACGGCCCCGGAGAACCGCCGACTTGCTCAACTGCTGCTTCTGGAGGTCCTGGAACAACTGCTGTCGCCCCACCTGCGCCGGCCTCGTCGGGTCGCGCGCGCGGGCCCGCCGCTCCAAGCCGCGGGCGCTGCCCGACACGGCCGCGAGGACAGCCGTCTCTGCGGCCCGCCGGCGGGCGGCGGGCGCGGCAGCCGCGGGGGGCGAAGACTAACTGAGCGCAGAGACGACCTCCGCAATGAACACGCGGATCGACCCGCTGCTCGACGCATCAACGCGAACGCCGAACAGACGCCTGACAAGGCATAGAAGCTCGTCGACGCCGAGCGCCCCCGCGAAAGCGTCTCCGCTGTTTTCGACCTCAGGCGCGCCGCGGGGAATGATGCCGCGCTCGAGCAGAACGCGAGGCAGATCTCAGCGCGTTTCCTCCAGATCCCCTAGCTTCTGGAACCACCCTTTCCGGATGGCCTGCGCCGCAGCCAGGCCATCCAGGCGCCTGGTGATATCCGCGGGAGTCGGGCGAGCATACTCAACCATGACTGCCACGCGGAATGCGTTCTTTGCTGTTGTCGCCCATGCGAGGGATTCGCTCTCCCCACTGCCGGCAGCGGCGACGCCCTGGCGAGCCGCCCCCCATGTCAGGGGGCGTTGCGAAGCCTTCGGACCAGTCAGCTGAAAATACTGTCTGGTCGCGTTTCTCGGCGCTACGAAATCAGCATCTGACCGCGCGCGGAGAAGATCATCCCGAGCACCCCCAGCACCCAACAATACAACAAAAGAGAACAATGAAACAAAGAAGAGATAGCCCACCAGGCGGGCAAGCTCACCCTCGGCCCGCGCGCACCACTTGTCGAAGCAGCGCGAGACGCGGCCCGCAACGGGCCGCTCCCCCATGCACGAACCGCCCGGGGCCCGCGAAAGAGTCGGAAGTGCACCGGACGACGCGCATACGTCCATCAAAAAGAACGTTGCCCGCGGCTACATTTACATTCGCGCAACGCTTGAAGCACATCCCAGCTCCCCCGAGATCAAGAGTCTGCCCGCGACGGCAGGTGCCGCGGCGGGAATCTAGCCCCTGGGGGGGAGCCGAACTCGGCTGTCGAACGTCTTCTGGCACTCCTCGCTCGCCGCTCAGGCGCCGCGGCTCGTTTTCAGGCGCGGTGGGCCCTAGCATTCATCAAATGCGCGACCTGCGCCGCCTGGCGGCTCCCCTGCTTGACGATCTCCGTCGACAATGCTCGCGCCAAGGTCGACTCCGCGGGCGCGGGCGTCGCGTCGGCCCCGGGCGCGCAGGCGGCAACAAACAAGGCTGCGACGCATTGTTTGAATGGTCGGGGTTGCAGCCCTCGATATCGGAGTCGGCAGCGGACCTCCAACCAGACCTCGCGCTGAGGCCTACGTCGGAACCGCAGTCTGACGGGGCGCCTAGGCCGGAGGGCCTCGCCGGCGGGCGCGCGACCGGGTCGGTCGGGCAGACGCGGCGGGCGCGCCGTCCGCAGCGCGCACGCGCGCATGCAACGTCCACGCCAGCAGCGCCGCCTATCCCCCGGGGCCGCGCGACGACGGGAGCCGCCGACTACGCCGAGCGGAAGCGCGGCGATGGAGACGGACCCGGCCGGGCGAGACCCCCCGCAACAACGGGCCACTGAACCGCCGCGTTGCGCGCCCAGGGCGGGCGGAGTGACAAGGAGCGCGGGGGGCCCCTCCCAGGGGCGCGGACGCCTCCTCAGACTCAGACGAAACGCCATCTGGATCGAGCTTGGGCGTCGGACGCGCGAGCGGGAAGACGCCGGGAAAGAGCCGTGGAAACGATTGGCTTCGCAACAACCCAAACGCCATCAGAACGGCGGAGCTCTGGGGCAGCCCCTAGGGGGCAAGGTGGTCACATCGTGCCCGGCGCCGCGTGGTTTCTCCAGCGCTTCCTGGATTTGCTTCGACTCGTAGCTCAGGGTGGCCGCGGAACTGTCGCTGCACGCGCGGTCGCCGCGCCCCTAGGCTTCATCCCATAATGCGTTCGGCGCGGACACCTGCGCCAGGAGCGAGCGCGCGATTTCGATCAGATCCTGGATGCGCTTTTCCCGCGGCGCCATTTGCCTGGGATCTGGCCGGGCGCTGATCCGATCTACGCGGGCTCACTGCGTCGCGCTGCGCGATGGACTGCTCACCGGCCAACCCGGGGCGAATCCGAAGCGAGATTTCCGCGCGGCCACGGCAAGCGCCCGCGCGCAACCATTGAGACGGTCGGGGGGCAGGGGGCGGCCTGCGAGATCGGCCGAAATTTCCCCCGCAGATGCTTCGCGGGCGAGCCGGCGGGCCGGGCGCGCGCGGAGCGGGGCTCGGCAAGATGCAGAGGGTGAATGCTGGACTGCAAGAGTCCAAATCTGTCTTCCAGAGGCTTCTCACGATGGCTGCACGAATCTTCTTGAGTTCTGCCACCTCCAATCCCAATGCGCGAGCGCCGTCCAAAAGTCGCCTGGTATTGCGTTGCAAGAAGCAGGAAAGATCGGCGCCTCCAGATGTAGGGCACGTCACGCACTCCAGCGATGGCCCCCTTCCATTTGTCCAGGCGCTGCTTCTCGAGCTCCGCGGCGCTGCTGCCCCCCGCGCGAACGGGCCCGCCTACCAAGCGAAACTCTTTCTCGCGCTTGAAACCTGGCGCCAGGGTTCCACTGGCACACTTGCCCCCGAACGTGAAAGTCTTCTTGCCCTTGATCTCGCCGCCGTCCAGGCTCTCGTACACATTCCCGATTATGTGCGCCCGTCGCGCGCCATCTGCCGCGCTGCCCGGGGCGCGCCCCGTGGACGCGGCACCGACGTCGCCCGCGCACGCTCGCACCGCAGCTCGCGGCACGTGCTTCTCGGACATCTCGAGGACACAGTTGACCATTGCCACGAGGCCTATCATGGACAGCGGGTCGCCCTGCACGATGCCCCCGTGAGACCTCCACCACTGGGGCAACGCCCCCCCGAGTCTGAGCACCCTCTGCACTCCGGCGCACATGGCGCGCAGCGATTGTAGAATACGGTCAGAGGCACCTCGCAACTGGAGCACGTCTAACATCGTTTCGACGGGGATTAGGCCGACGCGCTTTCGAAAATCATAAAACGCCTCCAACAAGAAGACCAGCGTTGTAGGCAGGAGCCTGCAAGTCCAACGCGATGTCGACAGCAATTGCTCTGCCGACGACAAGTCGCCCACCCAGCTTTCCTGTCACTTCAGCGCGTCTCCAAAACGAACTTTCGCCCACAAGCGGTAAGCGGCCGACAACGCTGCGATTGGTCGAAAATCGAGCGGTCCCACTTCGCTGGCGTCCGCTGTCTTCGGGATCAAGGAAGCGCACGCCTTCTCAAGGTCGCCCAGCCAGAGTCCAGCTCCTTCAACGTAATTGAGGACCTGTGCCAAGTCGTCGTAGAGGCCCGGGTACCATTGCGCGAGTGCTGCCAAGGCTGCGGGCCGCCAGGCGTCCAAACCGGCCGCGCACGGGGCCGTGCGCCGCGCTGCTTCTGCTAACTGCGCTCCTGTCAAGGCGTCGCACTGCATGACGCTACTCTTCATCGACGGCTGAAATGTGGCCACGAACTCCTCGACCTTTGGCTTCCGCACTTTGAACTTGTTGAAGATGGGCGTCCACTCGTCCAATATCGCCTGGAGTCGGCGATTTTTGTTCGCAGTGTAGGTGCCGTCTTTGAGCTCCATTGCCTTGTCCCCCTGTGGCACGCCATTTTTGACGCAGCGAAAGGTTTTTTTCCGCCGCTTGCAGTCGTTGCTTCCAGGCCCGTATACGTTCTGCCTTGTCCCGCCGCTGGCTCAGCACACACTCGTGCTCGAGTGCCTTGACGAGGGCCTTGGCCGTGTCCCTGCCGAGCGCGCTGTCTGCGAAAGTGCGCATAGCTGCGTCCCTTTTGGTCGTCAAAACCAGCGTCATACTCACGAGGTCGCGTTTGGTGGCCTCCGCTCGGTGCCCGTGCGCCTGCATGTCCGCGAGCTCCTGCGCCCGGCGCAGCGCCTTCGCCAGCCATCTGCTGCCCAGTGGTGCGGCGGCCGCCTGCTGTTCCCGAGGGTAAATGCAGAACAGACCCTGCGGAGGCGCACGTTTCCTCGGCCGTGCCCGCCGTCCGTGCTGCCGTCGGTGCACGGGATTGTGACGCTGCCTCTGCGCTCATGCACCACAAGCCATATGCCTGCTCCAATTTCCTTGCCCGGAGGGCCGCCTGGATGCGTACGTCGCGGCGGCTGCTGGCGTCCACGTGGCCCGGCGGCGGCTTGCAGTAGGTCCTCTGGGATCAAACGTTTTTGGGGCATGGCCCACGTCTGGGACCCAAGAGGCATGGCCATTCGAAGGTTCAGCGCCATATGTCAATCGTGTGTTGCCGCCTGCACGCCCTCTGTGACCCCGAAGCTGCGCATGCTGTGTGCGGTTGTGGCGTTGACCGCGGCCCAATCGACCCTCGCCCCCTTGCCCTTTGTGCTCGTGGAACGATGGTCGCCCCCGGGTGCCCCCCCTTAAGGCGGCGTCGTGCCAGCCAGACCGCCGGTACTTCTTCAGGGCCTCCGGCACGTCAACGGGCTCCACGCGTATATCGCCAACGAGAGTAGTAGCGATTTCCCCCCTGGTCAAGGAATCCTCCAGAATCGTTTCCAGCATGTCCACCACATTTTTGCGCTTCTCCGGCTCCCAGCGCGCCCCGGCGGCCCTGAGCAGCATAGCGCCTTAAGCGCTCCGACTGTGGTGCCACTTGTTGCGCGACCCATGCTGCTGATCGCTTGGCGATCGCCATCACGCCCGCGCGGCCACGCTGAAACACGGGTTGCCCCCATAGGACAACACTGCCGTGAGCGTCCTAAGAAACAGCCTTCTGCGTGTAAGTGGTCGCATGTGTCTCCACGAGTATCTTTATGTCGTGTTCCAAATTATGAATCATGCCAAACTTATCAGGCTGCTGTAAACCATTTACACTGTTAAAAAATATGTTAAACTCCCTATTGCCATGCACGGCCCTCGACGTAACTATTCCACTCCTTGTGTGAAATATGGAAAGCGCGCCACTGGATCACCCTGCAATTGAAAAGGGGGGGCGTGTTCGCAGACCCCCCCCAAAGGGGGGGTGAGATTTTCGACCCCCCCCCCCTCCCTTTAAAGGGGGGGGGGGGTCCGACCCCCCCCCTTCCCCCCCTCCCCTCTGCGCCGGAAAGGGAGCCGGGGAGGGGGCCTCTCTCGCTTCTCCTTTCTGCGCCGGAGAAGGTGTGTAGGGAGTACGGAGTTGGGAGTAGGGAGTAGTGAGTAGTGAGTTAGTGCGTAGTGAGTAGTAAGTATTGGCTAGTGGGTAGTGGGTGATGAGTGGCGAGTAGGGAAGAGGGAGTAGGGAGTGGAAGTGAGTAGAGAATATTGAGTAGTGTGTACGGATGGGTGAGTAGCGAATAGCGAATAGTGTGTGTAGTGACCGCTGAGTAGCGAGTACCGAGTAGTGAGTACTGAATAGGGAGTAGTGGGTAGTGAGTAGTGGGTAACGAGTAGTGGGTAGTGAGTAGTGGCTGGCGAGAAGTGATTAGTGAGTAGTGAATAGTGGGTAGTGCGTAGTGAGTAGTAGGGAGTAGTGAGTAGTGGGTTGTGAGTAGTGAGTAGTGAGTAGTGGGTAGAGAGTAGCGAATAGTGGGTAGTGAGTAGTGAGAAGTGAGTAGTGAGTAGTGAGTAGTAAGTACTGCGTAGTGAATAGTGAGTAGTGAGTAGTGATGAATAGAGAGCAGTGGGTAGTGCGCAGTGGGTAGCGAGTAGGAGTAGCGAGAGTAGTGAATTGTGGGCAATGAGCAGTGAGTAGTGAGTAGTGAGAAGTGCGTAGTGGATAGTGGTTAGTGGGTGATGAGTAGTGATTAGTGAGTAGGGAGCAGTGAGTAGTGAGTAGTGATTTGTGAATACTGAGTATTGAGTAGTGGGTAATGAGGAGTGAGTAATGAGTAGTGAGTAGGGAGGAGGGAGTAGTGAGTAGGGAGTAGTGAATAGCGAGTAGTGGGTTGTGGGAAGTGAGAAGTGGATAGTAAGTAGAGAGTCGTGAGTAATGAATAGGGGGTAGTGAGAAGTGAGTAGTGAACAACGAGTAGTCAGTAGTGGGTAGCGAGTAGTGAGCAGCGAGTAGTCAGTAGTGGGTAGTGAGTACTGAGTAATGAGTAGTGAGTAGTCTTTGGGTCTGGGGTCAGGGGTCGGGGTTCGGGGTAGGGTTTTGGGTTAGGGTGAGGACTAGGGTTGGGGGTGGCGGGGGTCGGGTTCCGGAGTCGGGGGGCGGCGTGGCAAAAGGGGAAGGGGGGGGGCGGGGGCAGCCAAAGGGGGGGAAGAAAAAATGGTCCAAAACCCCCTCCCCCTCTTTGAAAGGGGGGGAGGGGGGGGTTCCCGACGACGGACCAGGAAAGGAGGGGAGGGGGGGGAGTCCCCGACGACGGATCGGTGAAGGAGGGAGGGGGGGGTCCCCACGACGGATCGAGGAAAGGGGGGAGGGGGGAGGGGTGCCCCCCCCCCCCCCCCCCTTGGGGAGATCCAGCGGCGCGCCCTCTGAAATACGCCAGATCACATGCCAGACGCCGCAAAAGTACATAAGCCAGGTGGTCGACCGCCACCATTAGCGCGCCCGCCGTTCTCAGTCATCCCGGTGTATCGGATCGTCCGTCCTCTGCTTCTGCTCGGGTGGTGTCAGGCCGGTAGACAATTCCGCGGGCCGCCGCTGCCCCCTCGGAGAGCCCGGCTGTGGCGCTGGAGCCGGCTGTGGCGCTGGACCCCGCTGCGGCGCTGGAGCCTTGGACTGCGCCGGGGCAGGCGCTCCCAGGGCCGCCTGGGGCCGCTCCGGCGGCGCGCCGGGGAAAGCCGGCACGACCGTGCGCGAAGTTGAAGGCTGCACTGGGGCCGCCCGCCGCCGCCCGGCCGGCGCGCTGCGCCTGGGCGTCGTCCTTAGCCAGGGCACGCGCCGCCGCATTCACTGCCTTTAACACGATCGGCACCAGCTGCTTCTGATCGACAAAGTGCAAAGGTGCGGTGATTGTTGGTCGAATGGGAAATGGCCTGCTTGGCGTCGAAGAAGACGACGTCCGTCACCTGCCATCCCTGCGCAACCAGCATGTCGTAGAGGCCGCGGGCGCCGGCAGCCAAAGGCACGCCTGTAACCTTCCACCGTGTCCTGCAGGCCCTCCTTCTGCACCATGGCTGCTGCATCCGACACCGTCTTGGTCCGGAGCGCCAAACGGCCGTTCCGTTTCCTTCGAGACCGTACACTTGGGCATCTGTAGCCATCTGCAGGGCTACCGCCAGTTCCGTGAGTTAGGGAAGCCAGACCAACTCCATGGCCTCGTGCTCCCTCTGGCCCTTGTGAACCTTCAGGAAAATCCCGGACTTGCCGCTGAGATAAAGCACCTTGTGCACCAAAGTCGAAAGCACCAGGAAAGTCGTCGTGTCGTCCTTGCGGGTCAAGAAGTTATCCAGAGCGCCTTCCGAAATATCGTTCGCCAATGTTGCACCAAGATGGCGGCTGGTTGCGGGCCGGAACTCCACCCGTGTCGCGACGAAAGTTTGGCTACCATGTTGCCCATGTGGAAGCCAATGTCCACGGCGGCACCCGTCGCCCTCTTCTTCACCTGTTCACCAAAACCCAACTGGACGAGCCAACGTGTCACCCTCGCCGTCGTCCGTCCCCCTCCAGCATCTGCAACGCTCAGCTGGCAGTCCACTCGGGCCCGGGGGTATCCGCGAAGACACAAATCGTCAGGATCCTGGGTCAGTCACGATGGCCGCCGTGGCCTTCGCGGTGTAGACAACGCGTTCCAGCACCATGGGCAGGGCGTCTGTCGGCACGACCGTCACGCCTCCCGTGCTGTCCAGGGTCTGGTAAGGCTTAACCTCGGCCCCCCAATCCTCCTGGAGCAAGGTGGACTGAACCCGCATCTTGGCGGCCTCCGGCATGGCGTCGCGGATGGCCGCCTGATAGTCGGCAGGGTCGTTGAGGTCCCGGGCGGGCGCCTCCGGCTTCTTGCCCTTGCCCTTGCCCTTGCCGAGGCCCTTGCCCTGCCCCTGGGGTCCATTCCCATGGAGAGCATGCATCAACTTGTTCCAGGCGTGGTGCGACATTTACCACAAACACGTGACCGCGGTGAGGGAGGACAGAACCAAGCTGAAGACGATGACGTTGTACATGATGTTGCTAAGGACCTTATCCGCTACGATGCTGATGATGACGACTGGTTTGAAGACGCTGCTGCTGATGGAATCAGCCAAGATGCTGCTGTATCCGCCTCCCCCTTCCTGCTGGACGCCCGGATCATTGTCAGGCCGACTCCGACGGGCGCCGCCGACTAAGAGGCGGCAGCCGCGCCAGGCGCCGC